TAGTAGTAGTAGTAGTAGTAGTAGGGAGGGACCTGGGAGGTCATCTAGTCCAACCCCCTGCTCAGGCAGGAAACTCTATACCAGCGGTTCTCAACCTTTGGGTCGCGACCCCATTTGGGGTCAAACGACCATTTTACGGGGGTCGCCAAACAACACGATCCGCCATTTTTTTCCCTCAGGGGGCAGCGCCGCGCATGCGCGCCGCGTCCTTATGACCAGGGTCGCCGTATAAAAAGGTTGAGAACCACTGCTCTATACCATTTCAGACAAATGGCTGTCCAGTCTCTTCTTATGTGTGTAAGTGTGTGTAAGTGTGTGTGTGTCTGTGTGTGTGTGTGTACATATATAAAACTCATTTTTTCAAAAGATGTGTAGGAAACAAGAAGGGAGGAGGGGAGGGGGAGGGAGGAGAAGGAGGAGGAGGAGGACACAGTCCTTGGTGCTCTCTGAGCTTGGATGTTTTCTTGCAGATATTTCATTACCCAACATCCTAGCACGAATGATCCCACAATCCTCTTCCTCCTCCTCCATTTCACAAACCCCACTCCCTTCTAGAGCTGATGATCTTACCCAGTTTGGTAATAAAATGTCTGCAAGAAAAGCATTCAGCTCAGAGAGCACCAAGCAGCTCAGTCTTTCTCTTTCTCCTCCTCTTCCACACTGCAAACCCCACTCCCTTCTAGCACTGATGATGTTACCTAGTCGGGTCGTGAAACGTCTGCAAGAAAACCACCCAGCTCAGAGAGCACCAAGGACCCCACAATCGTCCTCCTCCTCGTCCTCCTCCTCCTCCTCCTCGCAAACCCCAATCCCTTCTAGCACTGATGATGTTACCTAGTCGGGTCGTGAAACGTCTGCAAGAAAACCACCCAGCTCAGAGAGTACCCAGGATCCCACAGTCCTCCTCCTCCTCCTCCTCCCTTCTAGTACTGATGGTGTTACCTAGCTTGGTAATGAAATGTCTGGAAGAAAACAGCCAAGCTCAGAGAGCACCAAGGACCCCACAGTCCTCTTCCTCCTCCTCCTCCTCCTCCTCCCTTCTAGCACTGATGATGTTACCTAGCTGGGTCATGAAACGTCTGCAAGAAAACCACCCAGCTCAGACATGACCAAAGGCCCCACAGTTCAAACCTGAACTACAAAGATTCTCTTCTATTGGTTTAAAGTCAACCCAATCTCTGCGGGATCCTTGGGAAGAGATGCAGGGAAGGAGCCCAGCCATTTGGACGGCGATAAACCCCTTCTCACCTTATCGATGAAATAGAGCGCGACGGAGATTTGTCGCTTCTTCGGCTCCTTGCACTTCCAGTCTGCCCGGTACTGGCAGCGGATCCGGTGGACCACCTTCTTCAAGCAACGAGCCACCTCGTATTTCTGCCAGTCTTTCTCGCCCTGGAAGAAAAGGGGACTGTTGCAAGATTAGCAGTTTTGCAAAGTCCTCTGTCTGTCTGTCTGTCTGTCTGTCTGTCTGTCTGTCTGTCTGTCTGTCTGTGTGAGAGAGAGACAGAGACAGAGAGACAGAGACAGAGAGATGGAAAGAGGGGGAAAGAGAGAGAGCAAGAGAGACTGGGAGAGAGAGAAAGAGAAAGAGAGACTGGGAAAGACAGAAATAGACACAGAAAAAGAAAGAGAGATAGAAAGAAAGAGGAAAGAGAGAGAGAGAAAGAGACTGGGAGAGACAGAAATAAACACAGAAAATGAAAGGGAGTGATAGAAAGAAAGAGGGGGAAAGAGAGAGAGAAAGAGACTGGGAGAGAGAGAAATAAATACAGAAAAAGAAAGAGAGAGAAAGGGGGAGAGAAAGAGAAAGAGAGAGACTATGAGAGAGAGAAATAGACACAGAAAAAGAGAGAGATTAAAAGGGGGAGAGAGAGAAAGAGAAAAGGAGAAAGAGAGAGACTAGGAGAAATAGTCACAGAAAAAGAAAGAGAAAGAAAGGGGGAGAGAAAGAAAAAGAGAAAGAGAGACTAAGAGAGAGAAATAGTCACAGAAAAAGAGAAAGAAAGAGAAAAAGAGAGAGACTAAGAGAGAGAAATAGTCACAGAAAAAGAGAAAGAAAGAGAAAAAGAGAGAGACTAAGAGAGAGAAATAGTCACAAAAAAAGAGAAAGAAAGAGAAAAAGAGAGAGACTAAAAGGGGGAGAGAGAGAAAGAGAAAAGGAGAAAGAGAGAGACTAGGAGAAATAGTCACAGAAAAAGAAAGAGAAAGAAAGGGGGAGAGAAAGAAAAAGAGAAAGAGAGACTAGGAGAGAGAAATAGTCACAGAAAAAGAGAGAGAAAGAAAGAGAAAAAGAGAGAGACTAAGAGAGAGAAATAGTCACAGAAAAAGAGAAAGAAAGAGAAAAAGAGAGAGACTAAGAGAGAGAAATAGTCACAGAAAAAGAGAGAAAAAAGAGAAAAAGAGAGAGACTAGGAGAGAGAAATAGTCACAGAAAGAGAGAAAGAAAGAGAAAAAGAGAGAGACTAAGAGAGAGAAATAGTCACAGAAAAAGAGAGAGAAAAAAGAGAAAAAGAGAGAGACTAGGAGAGAAATAGTCACAGAGAGAGAAAGAAAGAGAAAAAGAGAGAGACTAAGAGAGAGAAATAGTCACAGAAAAAGAGAAAAAGAGAGAGACTAGGAGAGAGAAATAGTCACAGAAAAAGAGAAAGAAAGAGAAAAAGAGAGAGACTAAGAGAGAGAAATAGTCACAGAAAAAGAGAGAGAAAAAAGAGAAAAAGAGAGAGACTAAGAGAAATAGTCACAGAAAAAGAGAGAGAAAGAAAGAGAAAAAGAGAGAGACTAAGAGAGAGAAATAGTCACAGAAAAAGAGAGAGAAAAAAGAGAAAAAGAGAGAGACTAAGAGAAATAGTCACAGAAAAAGAGAGAGAAAAAAGAGAAAAAGAGAGAGACTAGGAGAGAAATAGTCACAGAGAGAGAAAGAAAGAGAAAAAGAGAGAGACTAAGAGAGAGAAATAGTCACAGAAAAAGAGAAAAAGAGAGAGACTAGGAGAGAGAAATAGTCACAGAAAAAGAGAAAGAAAGAGAAAAAGAGAGAGACTAGGAGAGAGAGAGAGAGAGAGAGAGAGAGAGAGAGAGAGAGAGAGAGAGAGAGAGAGAGAGAGAGCCTGGGAGAGAGAGAAATAGACACAGAAAAAAGAGAGAAATAGAAAGTAGGAGGGGGGGAACAGAGAGAGAAAATAGAATAGAGTTGAAAATATGGAATGGAATAGAATGGAGAACAGAACAGAACAACTTCATTGTCACTTTAAACGCACACTAATCAGAAGACATTAAAATGAGATTTCTTGGCTCTCTAAGGGATGAGAGGAGTGAGGAACTTCACCTTCAGCCTGGAACTCGGGTTCAGCATGATGTACTTGATGGAGCCCTGGATGTTCTCCGTCCACGAGGCCAACCAGGTGACTGTCTTGTCGCACCTGACTTCTTTCCACTTGTGACCTCGCGGAGGCCGGGGCACCTTTGAATCTCTGGGAGGAAGGAAGAAAAAAAGAAAAAAAAAAGGGGGGGGGACGGACGGACAGGAGGGAGTTTTAAAAGTTTAAAACTTTTAAAGTAGGACAGCAAGAGAATTGCTCAAGCATGGTGGAGATTCTCTTCCATAAAATCTCTTCACCCTTTGTTGGTAATTGGATCACCCAGCCGGCTTTCAGGCCTAAGGCGGGACTAGAACTCCCAGTCTCCTGGCGATTGGCCCAAAGTCACCCAGTTGGCTTTCATGCCTAAAGTGGGACTAGAACTCCCAGTCTCCTGGCGATTGGCCCAAAGTCACCCAGTCAGTTTTCAGGCCTAAGGCGGGACTAGAACTCACAGTCTCCTGGCGATTGGCCCAAAGTCACCCAGTCAGCTTTCAGGCCTAAGGCGGGACTAGAACTCACAGTCTCCTGGTGATTGGCCCAAAGTCACCCAGCCGGCTTTCAGGCCTAAGGCGGGACTAGAACTCCCAGTCTCCTGGTGATTGGCCCAAAGTCACCCAGCCGGCTTTCAGGCCTAAGGCGGGACTAGAACTCCCAGTCTCCTGGCGATTGGCCCAAAGTCACCCAGCTGGTTTTCAGGCCTAAGGCAGGACTAGAACTCCCAGTTTCCTGGCAATTGGCTTAAAGTCACCCAGTCAGCTTTCAGGCCTAAGGCGGGACTAGAACTCCCAGTTTCCTGGCGATTGGCCTAAAGTCACCCAGCCGACTTTCATGCCTAAGGCAGGACTAGAACTCACAGTTTCCTGGCGATTGGCCCAAAGTCACCAGTCAGCTTTCAGGCCTAAGGCAGGACTAGAACTCACAGTCTCCTGGTGATTGGGCCAAAGTCACCCAGTCAGCTTTCAGGCCTAAGGCAGGACTAGAACTCACAGTCTCCTGGTGATTGGGCCAAAGTCACCCAGCCGGCTTTCATGCCTAAGGCGGGATTAGAACTTACCATCTCCTGGCGATTGGCCCAAAGTCACCCAGTCAGCTTTCAGGCCTAAGGCGGGACTAGAACTCACCATCTCCTAGTGTCTAGCCTGGCGCCTTAACCACTACACCCAACTGGCTCTCTTTCAATTAGCAAAACAAAGCCCGAACAGAACTTTTCAATGAAGAGGAAAGAGGAGGTGAGAACATTCAAGTCTCCTCCCTGTCCATCTTAAAGCCTGCTAGCTGGAGAATTCTGGGAGTTGAAGTCCACCCACCCTAAAAATTGCCAAGATTGAGAAACACGGTCATAGATTAAGACCTCGTTACGCAATTCGAGACCCACTGGCTACAATTGATGACGATGTCTTCCGGCATGATCCTCTTCTTCAGCATCCCCATTTTGGGGTGATCCCCTCGGCCCCGGAATAGGCCTGGCGGCTCGGTCTTGAAGTTGCCGATCTTCTCCCGATGGCCATCGATGACGCAGTAGCCGTATTCCTCTTGGATCCTGTCGGCCTCCTCTTTCAACCTCTGTTAAAAAGATACTGTCAACACTGCTAATATTGAATATTCTTGCTTTGACAAAACAGGCAGAACTGTCTGGTACTTTTAGAGTTAATTCAGGTGAGGGAGGGAGGAGAGAAAAGCCCGGGGAAAGGAAGAGAACCTTTGCCCTTCAAACTAATTGGAGAACGTAAATCATGACAGCAAAATAAGGAAGGGGAAATGCTAGCAAAAATAACTGCTGGGGTGGGATGGAGATTTCAGATCTTAGCATCCTTTCATCCTGCCTTGCCGACATTTTGTCACATGAATAAAAAGACTTTTTAGGATAAAAAGCCTGGAAGTTCTTTGAAGTGTTTCATTAGTCGGAACCTTGACAGATACACCATAATAAGCAGTTATTTCCAAGGAAAAGATACCCCTGGCCTAGATAAAGGAGGAGGGAGAGTAAGCATTGGATGGTGCAAAATATGGGAAGGGAAGGGAAGGGAAGGGACGGTAGCCACAGGGTTGAACTGGGGGGTCCCTGCCACTCTCTGAGCTTGGATGTTTTCTTGCAGATGTTTCATGACCCAACTAGGAAACATCATCAGTGCTAGAAGGGAGGGGGGATTGTGGAGAGGAGGAGGAGGAGGAAGAAGAAGAAGACTGTGGGGTCCTTGGTGCTCTCTGAGCTGGGTGGTTTTCTTGCATATGTTTCATGACCCAACTAGGATACATCATCAGTGCTAGAAGGGAGGAGGGACTGTGGGGTCTCTTCCATCATCATCATCATCATCATCATTATTATTATTATGGATCATCGCATAGTCAGCCAGATGTTCAGACTGGATTTGGCATTTTTGTCTACCTATCGAGTCCTTACCCAGGACCTGGGATAGGCAGATGTGGATGTTTGATGGTATTACAGGTATTGTCGCAGGATGGAAGCAGTTCCTAATAAGGCCGCCTTTTGCAATTGACTAATAGCGAATTTGTCAATGCCGATGATGGTGTTCAAGTGGTGCTCCAGTTGTTTTGGGATTGCACCCAAGGCGCGTATGACTATTGGTACTACCCTTGCTTGCTTTTGCCACAGTCTTTCTATTTCCATTTGTAAGTCTTTGTATTTTGTGATCTTCTCCAGTTCTTTCTCGTCTGTTCTGCTGTCCCCAGGCACTACTATTATTATTATTATTATATTATTATTATTATTAAAGTTTCAAGGCTGGAGATTCCCGCTTGAAAGAGTGGGAAAGATCCCAATTTGATCAACGTCACTTATTGTCTCACCTGTTTCTCCTCCTTAGAGAGCGCCTTCTGGGCTTCTTGCTTTTCCAGGAAGTAATCGTGGATGTCGCTGAAATCACATTTCTTAAGGTCTTTGATTTTCTTCCTTTCCTGCGGAGTCATCACCTACATGGGAAAAGGAGGGCATCTAAGGGCTAAAACTGTACACAAACTAGAAAACAAGTTATCCACAATAAGATGCCGTCTAAATCAGTCTTTCTCAACCTTGGCACCTTTAAGAAGTCTGGACTTCGACTCCCAGAATCCTCCAGTCAACATGGTAATTTTAAGAAGTCTGGACTACGACTCCCAGAATTCCCCAGTCAGCATAGTAACTTTAAGAAGTCTGGACTACGACTCCCAGAATTCCCCAGTCAACATGGTAACTTTAAGAAGTCTGGACTACGACTCCCAGAATTCCCCAGTCAACATGGTAACTTTAAGAAGTCTGGACTACGACTCCCAGAATCCTCCAGTCAACATGGTAACTTTAAGAAGTCTGGACTACGACTCCCAGAATTCCCCAGTCAGCATAGTAACTTTAAGAAGTCTGGACTTTCTCCCAGAATCCTCCAGTCAACATGGTAACTTTAAGAAGTCTGGACTACGACTCCCAGAATCCTCCAGTCAACATGGTAACTTTAAGAAGTCTGGACTACGACTCCCAGAATTCCCCAGTCAGCATAGTAACTTTAAGAAGTCTGGACTTTCTCCCAGAATCCTCCAGTCAACATGGTAACTTTAAGAAGTCTGGACTGCGACTCCCAGAATCCCCCAGACAACATGGTAACTTGAGGAAGTTTGGACTACGACTCCCAGAATCCTCCAGTCAACATGGTAACTTTAGGAAGTATGGACTTCGACTCCCAGAATCCCCCAGTCAACATGGTAACTTTAAGAAGTCTGGACTTTGACTCCCAGAATCCCCTAGCCAGTGTCACCACTTTAAGAAGAAAGAATAAAAGACAGAGATCTATGCTGGCTGGAGAATTCTGGGTGTTGAAGTCCTCAAGTCTTAAAAGTTGCCAAGTTTGGACACTCCAGGATAAACAATCTCAAATTCCTTACCTGTCAGTTGCACCTTTCCATTGTTCTGCTTTTGGGGGCAGGATGGGATGGGGGGGCATTTCCCCTACGCCAGTGGTGGCGAACCTATGGCACACATGCCAGAGGTGGCACTCAGCGCCCTCTCTGTGGGCACGCGTGCCATACTCCGGAGATGGCAACAGTCCCTCTTCAACCAACCGCCCACTAACTCGTCGAGGTCCCACGTGGCCGGATGCATCCCAGCACAGCTGGTTTCCGTCCCCCCATCCCATCCCTCCTGGCCTTGCGTGCTCTCCTTTTCCCGGGCACGGCCCACTGCATCACCTCCTCAGCTGTCGGCCATCCGTCCAGCCCAGAGGCGGCTTCTCTGAACTGCTGGCGATGGGCTGCGGAGCACCAGAGTACGCTGGTCGAGGGGCCGTCAGGCTGTGGCTGCTGACGGACACTGCCAGCCCCCATGTGCTCTGTGTGCGGGGGCCGATGGGTTCAGGCAGCAGCCCCCCGGCCCCTGCCTCGCCTTGCCCTTCAACAATGGCACCCCTGCCCTTCCTCGCCTCACCCCGCAGGACGAGCCTCCTGCCCATTGCCCCACCTGCCAGAGACCCCCTGGATCTCCCCCAACCCTGCCTGGCCCCCACAGGCGTCCCTCCCCACGCGCAACATCGAGGTGACCACGTCCACCTTGGCCACACCCACCCAGTCTGCCATGACCACCACAGCCGCGCACACCCAGTGGGCCGCGCCCACCTGGCACCCGGCGATAAGTAAAGTGTCATTGTTCCGACTAATGTGACACTTCAAAGAGCATGAAGTGGTTTTGGGGTTGCAGTTTAGGCACTCGGTGTCTAAAAGGTTCACCCTCATTGCCCTATGCCAGCGGTTCTCCACCTGTGGGTCGGGACTCCATTTGGGGTCGAACGACCATTTCACGGGGGTCGCCAAACAACGCAGTCCGCCATTTTTCCCCCCCTTTTCCTTAGCTGTGCTACTCCCTTTTATTCTATTGGCTTTCCAAAGCCAATGGGAATTGTCCAGGCTGTCTCTGCCCTGCTGAGCCCGCCAAAAGCCCCAGTCTGCAAACGGTGCTGCACCAGTTGAGTAGTCCTCGACGTACGACCGGTTGGGGGTCGTGGCATTAAAAAGGTTGAGAACCACTGCCCTATGCAGTTGCCGAATTAAAAAGGCCAGCCTCCCAAATACACACACACATACACACACACACACACACAAACACCAATGGATACCTGCGTCCAGTCACAGAAAAAGTTATCCCGGAAAATCTTCTTGCGTGCGTAGTCGTGGTCCAGCATCTTGGCGAAAAACGTCGCCACTTCCTCGGCGGCCCGGCTTAGCTTCACAGGCCTGCCTGCAACAGAGGAGGGTGGCCATCCGGTGATCGTGGGGGCTGGGGGGGGGGACATGATTGCCCCTCCATCACACTAAGAGCCAACCCTTCCCTACAGCCTTCTACGAAGCTCAGGAGATGCCACCACACGCCGCTTCTCCTCCACCTCCATCCAGAGAGGACCACCTACCGTTGTAGTAGAACTTGACGGAGCTGGGCAGAGGCTGGTAAGGTGGTGCCAAATAGGGTCCCCTGTGGTGCAACTGGTGCCATTTGACGCCGTTGTCGTCTCGTTTCTCTTCCTCCCACCTGGCGGGAGGAAGTTTAGCAAGGGTTAACGTCCTCCGAGATGGTTTTTAATCTCTGAATGGCAATCTTCTCCAACCGTACCCTTGGCATCTCCCAGACATGTGGGGACCGCAACTCCCAGCCTTCCAGGGCATTCTGGGAGAGGTGGGATTCACACATATATACCTGGGAGCCACCAGGGGGTGGTAGGCTGATATGTATGCCTTTAATCCCCAGTTCACACGGCTGGCTGAGGGATTCTGGGTGTTGAAGTCCACAGGTTTTCAAGTTCCCAAGGTTGGACACTCCTGGTATAGGGGGTTGGACTAGATGACCTCCAAGGTCCTCTTCCAACTCGTATGTCATAATTTTATTCTTTTCTGACACAAAAATGTCCATAGTTCTAATGTGTGTATGTCTGTGTGTATATATGTATGTATGTGTGTGTGTGTGTGTGTGTGTGTGTGTGTATACACAGAAAGTATTTCATGATTGCATCTTTAGCATTTTGACTGCTATACTGAAGCTCTACTTTTTATAATCCCTTTTGCTTTGCAGCCCCCCAACGAGGGGCATTAAGCAGGCTCAAGTCGCTACTGCGATACATCACAAATTTTGTCAGCAAAAAGAAATATGAATATGAATATGTGTGTGTGTGTGTGTGTGTGTGTGTGTGTGTGTTTGGTTGTTCGGGTTTTCTCCCGCGTAAAATTGGAAGTGTCTTGGCGACGTTTTGACGAAGTCCCATTCGTCATCTTCAGGCTGGTGTTTTCAGCTTCGTGCTTTGAGGAGCAATGTGTGGTCTTAGCTGTTTCTTCCTTTTAACTGCTAGTGGGGGTATGAACTGATAGGGTGGGAGCTTGGCTGTGTTCTGATTGGATGGAGGTGTGTTCTGATTGGTTAGGGGCTTGGCTGTGCTCTGATTGGCTGGGGGGTTGGCTGTGCTCTGATTGGCTGGGGGAGTGTTCTGTTTGGTTGTGCTCAGGTTAGTCTGAGTTGCAGGGGGGTTTAAGATTTTGGGCTGCCTTGCTATTTTTTGGCTTCGCGTTCGTGGTCGTGCCTCATCTTCATGGAGGGTGTCAGTCTGCTTCATGTATGGATTGGAGGGGTTTAAAGTGGCTAACGATGAAGCTGTGGTCTGCATCATGATACCTCCCACCTACCAGCCATTTGGAAACCCGCCCTTATCGACAAACGACTCCCTAACACAAAAAATGATACCAGACCCACACTCACAAAAACCACACAGGATGTCACCACCACACATCCACGCAAAAAGCAAACCCAAAGCCACACCGATGATGAGGCACGACCACAAACCAGAAGACAGACCACAGCTGCATCATTAGCCACTTTAAACCCCTCCAATCCATACATGAAGCAGACTGACACCCTCCATGAAGATGAGGCACGACCACGAACCAGCCAATCAGAGCACAGCCAACCCCCCAGCCAATCAGAGCACAGCCAAGCCCCTAACCAATCAGAACACACCTCCACCCAATCAGAACACAGCCAAGCTCCCACCCAATCAGTTCATACCCCCACTGGCAGTTAAAAGGAAGAAACAGCTAAGACCACACATTGCTGCTCGAAGCACGAAGCTGAAAACACCAGCCTGAAGATGACGAATGGGACTTCGTCGAAACGTCGCCAAGACACTTCCAATTTTACGCGGGAGAAAACCCGAACAACCAAAGACCTACATACAAAACACCTGCGAAACCTCAGAAAACATATATATATATATATATATATATATATATTATATATATATATATATATATTATATATTCTGCACAAACAGAAAAATATCCACCATCCTTAGAAACCCCAAAGATAAAATTGAATTAGAAAATCAAGGAGTATACGAAATCCCATGCACCACTTGTCCCACCACATACATCGGACAAACCAACAGAAGAATAAGTGCACGCATTGAAGAACATAAGAACTCAGTCAAAAAAGAGGAACCAACATCTTCCCTGGTCCAACACCTTAAAGCCACAGGACATGAAATTGACTTTAAAAATACCAGAACCATTGCCAAAAGTGAACATTTTAATAACAGAATAATCAGAGAAGCCATCGAGATAGAAAAATGCCCACACAGCATGAACAAGCGAGATGATACCTCCCGCCTACCAGCCATTTGGAAACCCGCCCTTATTGACAAACGACTCCCTAACACAAAAAATGATACCAGACCCACACTCACAAAAACCACACAGGATGTCACCACCACACATCCACGCAAAAAACAAACCCAAAGCCACACCGATGATGAGGCACGACCACAAACCAGAAGCCAGACCACAGCTGCATCATTAGCCACTTTAAACCCCTCCAATCCAAACATGAAGCAAACTGACACCCTCCATGAAGAGGAGGCACGACCACGAACGCGAAGCCAAAAAATAGCAAGGCAGCCCAAAATCTTAAACCCCCCTGCAACTCAGACTAACCTGAGCACAACCAAACAGAACACTCCCCCAGCCAATCAGAGCACAGCCAACCCCCCAGCCAATCAGAGCACAGCCAAGCCCCTAACCAATCAGAACACACCTCCACCCAATCAGAACACAGCCAAGCTCCCACCCAATCAGTTCATACCCCCACTGGCAGTTAAAAGGAAGAAACAGCTAAGACCACACATTGCTCCTCGAAGCACGAAGCTGAAAACACCAGCCTGAAGATGACGAATGGGACTTCGTTGAAACGTCGCCAAGACACTTCCAATTTTACGCGGGAGAAAACCCGAACAACCAAAGACCTACATACAAACACCCGCGAAGACCTCAGAAAACACACACACAGATAGATATATATAGATATATATATATATATATATATATATATATATATATATATATTATATATATTTGTGGGTCTTTGGTTATTCGGGTTTTCTCCGCGTAAAATTGGAAGTGTCTTGTCGATGTTTCAACGAAGTCCCATTCGTCATCTTCAGGCTGGTGTTTTCGGCTTCATGCTTCTAGGAGCAATGTTGGTGCTTCATTGCTGCTAGAAGCACGAAGCCGAAAACACCAGCCTGAAGATGACGAATGGGACTTCGTCGAAACATCGCCAAGACACTTCCAATTTTACGTGGGAGAAAATCCTAATAACCAAAGACCTATATACAAACACCCGCAAAAACTCATATATATATATGAGAGAGAGAGATTAGAAATTAGGACATTTTTGTGTCAGTTAGAAAAGAATACACACGCACACACACACACACACAATCAAACATTTATATTTATATATATATTACAAAACCCCCAAAGACTGACAACTGTTTTTTCCTACTATCACGTAACTCAAAAGTTACGTTTCTGAATAGTCTCCTTGCCATCCCAAGCCCTTTGCATCATGCACGCCTGAAGAGTGAATTCAGAATTGTCACAATCTCAGTGACAAAACATTATTGAGGAACAGAACAGAACAGAGTAGAATAGCAAATGAATAGAGTAGAGTAGAGCAGAGCAGAATAAAAAACGAGGAGAGTAGAGAGTAGAGAATAGGGAGTAGAGTAGAGTAGAGTAGAGTAGAAATTAGGATAGGATAGGATAGGATAGGATAGGATAGGATAGGATAGGATAGGATAGGATAGGATAGGATAGGATAGTTAGAAGGAAGGTCTTGGAGGTCATCTAGTCCAACCCTCTGCTCAGGCAGGAAACCCTATACAATTTCAGACAAATGGCTGTCCAGTCTCTTCTTAAAAGCCTCCAATGTTGGAGCACCCACAACTTCTGGCGGCAAGTTGTTCTCCTGATTAACTGTTCCAACTATCAGGAAATTTCTTCTTAGTTCTAGGTTGCTTCGCTCCTTGACCAGGAGAGATAATGGTAATCAGGGTCACTCTGTCCACACGTGCAAACCGGACTTTGCAAATGCCGGGCCTTTGTACCCCAAGCCCAGATCTCTAAGGTTTCCAACCAAATTCAACAAGTAGATCTTGATCTATCCTAAACTAACCACCAAGGTTTTGAGGGCTCTCTATTTACAAATTCAAAGGTAGGCCAGTAGTTTCATATCTGCTCATGGAGAATGTAAATTCGGGGGCTCTCTTGATGTTGAAAAATAACATCAGCCCCAACTTCCTGATTCTTCCTAAAAATATAATAATCTTCTCTAATTCTAAATATGGTACTCAAAAATTTTATGGGCTTGCACGTTCCAACGTTAGGGGGGTTTAAGTTTAAGAAACTGGACAGCCATTTGTCCGAAATGGTATAGAGTTTCCTGCCTGATCAGGGGGTTGGACTAGATGACCTCCAAGGTCCCTTCCAACTTTTATTATTATTATTATTATGTCAGGGAGAAATGAAGGAATTCACCATCAAAAAGACTTCCAGGTTCTGAGCGCTTTTCCGAAGATTTAGAAGTTCTCTCTTCAAATCAAAAGTTTGTGACATTTGTCAGTAAGAATTCTATTTAAATGAGAAATCGTTTTTACACAAGCTGACTGTGAATCTCAAAGACAGAGCTGCAGAAAAGCAAACATTTTTAACTTGCTTCCAGAAAAGCACGCAGGACTTCAAACAGCAGCTTACCACATTCCTAGGAAGCACCATTTTTTTAAAAAAAAAGTAAAAATAAAAGTACTGAGGACTAGCGCCTTGGACTAAAAGACTTGCAAGGTCCCTTCCAGCCTTATAATCCTATTTCCAAATTAAGCCATGGTTCTAGTAAGAATACTTAGCTAGACCTCGCCTCCAATATATCCAGTTCTAGCACCCCACTGTTAAGAAAAATGCATCAAAATCCAAAGGAAATTATAAAGCGCACCCACCGATCTTTTTTTTTCATGCTTTATGCTCAGCAACCCTGGAGAGCCCTGCACGCTCATGCACTCCCATGCACACCCGGAAAACACGTGTCTCCGCTGGCAAACCTGGAATACCTCGCTTTGGGGACCAGCACCCCACTGTTAAGAAAAATGCAGCAAAATCCAAAGAAAACTATAAAGCGCACCCACCAGTCTTGTCTCTTTCATGCTTTATGCTCAG